ATTGGTTCAAACCTCCCCACCCATGCATGGTCAGAAAAGAATCCCTGTACAACATACTATATATTTAAAACCCTTTAAAGTGAACCTATTAAATATGAAAAATGGTAACTATATACATTGCAATTGAAAAGACCGTTAAACATAATTTTCAAAATTAATTTGCGCCTATTTTGGCCAATTTCAACCTGATTTGTCCATTTGAACTATTAACTCTAGACACAAATATCTGTTCTAGTGAACAGCCGAGTTTGCTTTATCTAGGCCAAAGTGTTCACCAAATTTCACTACAGTTAATACAAAGCCATGTTTCTGGTATTACGTCTATGTCAGTACAGTTTATGTGACACCAACGTCCACAACCATCACATCCAATCCACTCAACATCTTCGGAACTATTAAATGGGGGGTCAGGCATTTCACAAGCAAGACAAAGTTGTTCACCGTCATCGAAATTTTGTGTCTGGCTACGTTCCTTGGCTTTCTTTCGCTTTCTTGTTTCAGCTGCTTAACGAGCACCTTCAGCCCTGTTAAGCGCGATTTGATTCAAGTGTTCAAACCACATTCGTGTTTCTTCAAAACTTAACAATATTTTTTCCGCTGTCTCTTTAATAATTTCTGTTGATGGAACTTTCTTATACTTTTTAAACGTAGCTAAAATAACATCTGAAGATGGTTTTGAAGTTGCTGGCTGAATCGGGCTTGTAATTACCGAGGCTGTATTCTTAGTTTCAATCTTGAGCAGCATTTCTGGTTTAAGATAATGTCCACTACATGCACCAAAACATTTCTTGCACAAAAAACCCCCAAAGGGTCTTTCGGGATCTGCTCAGGGCAAGGGAAAGTAAGATATAGGTGGACCACCATCATACCACGTTAATTCTTTTTCAGGCTGTCTTTTCCTACACGCTTCATGTACACAGTCCTTTCGATAACAACAAATGAGGAGAAATACATACTTTGGTGGAAGATCTTTACGCATATGCGCTTCACGAAGTTTCCAAATTGTTTCAAACTTTGAATACATATCTGGAAAAGCTCTTTTTAACTCTCCTTTTTCTTTCTTCTTCCCCTTTTTTTTCTTCTTCCCCGGGTTTATAAATGTTGACTTACAATGCTCATATTGCGAAAGAAGTTCCATGTCTGCTAAGTGCTGCGCAGAATTCTTCTGAAACAATACGGGTGCCTTCACAATGCCCATGCAGATTTCCCCTGTGGTTTTCGTACCTGCAAAGTTGTAAGAAGTCGTCTGCAAAGTAGATGCATACTTATTAACGTTGTCCATCCTAGTTGTAAGGGACTCCTTTCCTTTGACACATAGCGTTCGTGGAGCCTGTGGGATGCCATCGTATTGAGGCGGAATCCAGCCTGATCCTCTCTTCCTAAGTTGACAATGTTTGACCCGTCCTGATACTGGAGTATATTTAAACTAGAATATAACGCATTACTCCAATGTGCGTATGGATTGTATTTCATATTGAATCCCTTTCTCACCCTTTTTTGAAGAACTTTTGCAACACCCTTGTATCTGGCCGATGATCGTCTTCTCTTGTTCCTTGCGATGCACAACACTACCATATGATATCTTTCTTTGGTACTTGCTTTCTAAATGTTCCTTCACTCTTTTAAAGGTTGCTTTTTTTTCGACTTTCTTATTTCCGTCAAACGTGATCACTCCTGTCCGTCTCCATGCAACTGCACCAGCTCCACACTTTCGCACAAACTCTTCGATTGTTTTTCCAATATCCGGGCAATCACGTAAGATGTGAGATACTTTCTTACTTTTGCGTCGTTTCAACAGTCTTTCCTCGGCTATTCTTCTCTTTGCATCTCTTGTTGCCTTTCGCCTGATCGCATTCCTCCTTTTTTTAATCAAAACCTGTCCTCTACAGTCAAATGGACTTGTGATCTCATTCAAACCCGACACATCAGCATCGCTAGAGCTTTCATCAGATTCTGAAACAATTTTTCCTTCCTTGATGTCAATCTCCCTTTCTATTTCAGACTTTTTCATTTCGTAGGCATGGAGTGATTGCCTGGCAATGCTGACCAATTCGGCGAATCCAAGTGATAGGAATTGCTCATAAAAACTTTTCATCATTTCGTCAAAGATTTCTGATGGTACCTCTTCCATGCTTTCTTTTGCTACACTCTTAAACTGGAACCAATTCAGTTCACACTTTCTAAAAATATCCAACAATTTTGCATACATTTTTTCCACTTTGGATGTTGCATTCGTGGTACTAGACTGGCTTGAATAGTTTTCAACCTCTAACACTTGAGGACTTGATATACCACCCTCCAAAATAGGTCTTTCTTTGAGCTTCATTTCTGACATGTTGTCACTTTTTCCTGTTTCTTCTTCAGACCAAGTATCATCTTCAGACTCAGTTTCAGACGTTTCACTTTCGCTAGACAAGGTTATCCCCAATGCTTCAACAAGTGCTTTTTCCTTGATTTTTTGAAGGATTAATTGAAGGAGCCTCCGCCGAGCATCTTTGGGGGAATACTTAGTTACCTCTGGACTACACATTGCAAAAGCATTGCTTAACTTAATATAAATATGTTGCAAAATGTATTCTGCCACCTTCAGTTTTCCTGCACACTCTGCGCACGGTTGCCTATGGCGATTTTTGCAAACAAAACCACAAACTTTAACGTAATCAACAAGACTTAGCCCTTCCATCCTAGAAACGTAAATGTTTTCAGATACTTTTTCATGCAAGGATAAGGATCTTTTCGTTTCACGTTCAAATACATAAACAAGGTTGTTTTCGTCAAGTTCCAGTTGGATGCGAAGGGCAGCATCTAAAAATCCTTAGATGGAACAAAATCAGCAGATGCTGTTTCTAAATTTATATTTTTGTCGCTCTTGTCAAATTGGCTGCTTGATTTGATTTCTAATTGTTGTGAAGATGGAAATATATCATTCGAATCACTATCTGAAATCATTTCCTCAGCTACTTGGGATTGGGCATTCAATTCATCTGCTTCAAACTGAATTGGTGGATTGACGTCAGTCATTGAGAATTGAGCATTCGGTTGACCAGTTTCAGGCTGAATTGGTGGATCAACATCAGTCATTGGGGATTGAACATTCAGTTGATCTGCTTCAGACTGGATTGGTGGATTGACGCTTAATATAGAATGTTCGTCATTAGAGTGCAATACAACTGTGTCTTCAGAATAATTTGTGTTGGAACTAATACTGGAATCACCTTTCCAGAAATCTTGGAGGGTTTTCACTTCCTTGCTTTTATCAGCTATCTTTGTTTGATCCTTCTTTTTCTTGTGGTACCACTTTGATTTTCCTTCTTTCTTTTCCAGTAGCTTTAGTTGTTTTTCATGGATTTTTTGTTCTTTCATTAACTTGCGAATTTCCCCACTTATTGTGTCACATTTTCCATATTCCTTCAGCGATTTATGTTTTTCCAGGCACATTTGCTTGAAATTCAGTTGCTCGCTATGAAGCGTTATTAGGGTCATAATTCAAATTTATATTATATTATTCTTGCACTCAATTTATGTTCATTTTAACAAGTGCCATTATTTAAAATTTAATACAATTTTAAATAACACAATTTGAAATTAAATAACACAATTTGAAATTGAATAACATAATTTGAAATTGAATAACATAATTTGAAATTGAATAACACAATTTGAAAATTCCTCAGATTTCCTAGCCTACAGATTTCCCTAACATTCCATAGCAGTTACAACATACTTACACAAAGTATTGGGATCGGACTATTGGGAATGAAAAGTTGAAAACGTCGTTCCTGACGTTCCATTTATAGTTATTTGATTAGATCCATTGATTAGATCATAGAATTTTACAAATTAGATATTTATTATTGAAAATGAATCGAATGGCTGAAGAACCTACATTAATTAATGAATTGGTGAGATATATTAGTGAAGTGATATTTGTGATTGGGCAAAATGGAAGTGATGAATATGGAAGTGATGGAACAGATTTTGCTAATTTTCGTCTTGACTATCTCAGCAGTATTGTTGCTCGCTACGTGGATGAACTAAATTTCGGCGATCAAGTGTTGAATAATATTCAACAAGCTAGGGAGTTACTCATTCAGGGAGAACGAGATCTGCCAGTGTTTTATGAAGCTCCATCTGTGGTTCCTATAAGTGGTCAACGTGGTAGACCCCGTTTTGAAATTAGCCGGGAACAGCTAGAATTCTTTTTGGAGCAAAATTTTACGTCGAGAGAGATATCATGTTTAATGGGTGTAAGTGAAAGTACTGTAAAGAGAAGAATTCGCGAGTTTGGAATCAATATCAGAGATGGTTATTGTGAGTTTCATGATGAGCAGCTGGATCAACTAGTTTTACAATTTTTGACTGACTTCCCCAATTCGGATACAGACGTATGACAGGTTTTTTGCTTTCTGCTGGACACAGAGTTCAACAGCATCGTGTCAGGGAGAGCATGCGAAGGGTAGATCCCATTGGCGTCTTTTTGCGTGCCCTTGAAATTCGGACTGTCAGAAGGAGGAGATATCAAGTGCCTGGCCCACTAGCACTATGGCACATTGATGGAAATCATAAACTCATCAGGTAAGTTCATCTCTGTCCATGTGTTTTGAATAAAGCTTCACTGCAATTGGATAAATAAATTTTCCAATGTTTAGATTCACAAGGTAATTGATGTTGTACTGGGTTATTCATGTTTTGTCTACTATTGGATCAATGCCTGAGCTGTATTAATCTAATGTTCAAATGTCATTTCTGATTTTAGATGGCGCTTTGTTATTCATGGTGGAATCGATGGATACACAAGAATGATTGTGTTCTTGAGATGCTCAACGAACAATAAGGCATCCACTGTTTTGGAATTATTCCAAGAGGCTGTTCAAAAATTTGGGTTACCTTCAAGGGTAAGATCAGATAAAGGCGGGGAGAACATGGATGTTGCTATGTACATGTTAAGCCATCCATTGAGAGGTCCTAATAGAGGAAGCCATATTGCAGGGAGAAGCGTTCACAACCAGCGCATTGAAAGGCTTTGGCGTGACTTGTTTTCCGGTTGTGTTCATGTGTTTTATCATTTGTTTTATGACATGGAGCAACATGGAATTCTGGAACCTTCAAATGAAGTACACTTGTTTGCACTACATTACACATATCTACCACGCATCAACCAGAATTTGAGTATATTTGTTCAGGGCCATAGTAGAGCACCACTAAGTAGTGAAAGAGGAAAATCACCATTGCAATTATGGATTCAAGGTTCAATGACACACAGTAATCGGGCAATTGATGAGCAATGGAGTATGGTAAGTCTTACTCATAAGGCTCTCATCCACTCATTGCAAAAACTTATCTATTTTAATGAGATGAAAGCACTTGCAGCGAGCTTGTTAGTCCATTTTGCAATGAGTGGAAAAAAGCCCTAATCCTATACTCACATTTACCAGGGGCAAATTTTCAACATTTCACTGTCAATATCACTTTCTAGGAAGACAATGAGTACTATGGAGTTGATTGGGATGGACCAGTCCCAAATAATGAAGATTTGAATGTGTCCTCTAATGCCATTGAAGTTCCTGTTACTAGCATTCCAATTTCTGAAGAAGCCTATTTTCTTTTAAGAGAACAAATTGATCCATTAAGAGACAGTGAGTCACATGGTGTTGATATTTATTTAGAAGTATTGTCTTTCATAGCAAATTAATATAAATTTCCACTAATATTCAGTGTCATTGTACATCATTGTCATCTCAAACAAAACAAGTTATCAATCATTATTCACATATCTCTATATTCTTCCATATCCAGTAGCTTGTATGGAAAGTGTTGAATCGAATGCTTTCTTATAATCTTCATAATTGTTGTGAGCGGTTGGGAGTGTGATGATTGCAGTACAGGAATCAACATCTGGCAACTTTACTCCTTTTTGCCAAATTTAACAGTTAATGATTTTGTTGGTGGTAGTGGGTCACCATAGATAAACTGCACCAGCTTCTCCAAGGTCGCTTGGTGAGGGGAATCTGAACAATTAATTAAAAGTTGTATACCATATTTCTTAATGACGTTTGAGATATTCTAGCTCTGACCAACATATTTTTAATAGCAGGAGTTCAGCTATCAGACTTAGGCCACAATGGTTAAAATTGCAACAGCATTCTTCAATTTTTTATCTGAAGTCTGTATGTTCACATTTTTTAATCCTGAATCCCATTTCTAAAACCTTTCCTAAAACCTCATACAACTACAAAATTGTTTTGCTACATTTCTCAAGCACTTGAATGAATTTCATTTCAGAATTGCTGTGAATTATACCTGTTTGTGAATCTTTAAGAACTTCATTAATGTATCTTTTAAACCAACACAGTGATTTATTTTCCTCTTCACTGAGCTCCTTCAGGTCTGACTTCAATTTTATTTTCTTAAGCAAGTCATCAGGAACAACATTGATTTCCTTCTGATAGGAAAACGCTTTACTAATGTGGATCGGGTTTTCTTTCAGGAATGTTGCCAACCCACAGAATTCATACCCCTTGAATATCATTCAACTCTGCAATCCGCATTTTCAAAACGTAAAATATCAAAATATCTTGAACAGCCTTTTGTCTATTTTCAAGGGTAAGCAACTTGTTGACAAACCCGCTTGTAAGAAGAAGGTTCATAACTTCATCAGACATGTCAACATTTCCAACTCTTCTTTATCCGCAGTCATCACCTAAGAAACAATTATGTAGTAAAATGTTTCACAGATTTCAAACTAAGCGTTTTTCTATGCTATAACTACACAATAATTCATCCATAATAACATGCAAAATATATATCTATTGTGTTACAAACCCTGTGAAGGGTATCTTTGATGATCAAATCAGGTAGATCATCAAATGTAATTTGGGGAATTCCTTCCTCAATTGAGCCTGTTATGATATAGGTAACAACTGGCATAGCCATTCCTACGAATGGGAATCCTTGATGTAAAAATGAATGGGCTATCATTCTTCCTGCATAAAAGAATAGATTAGACTCAACAGCTTCAGTGGAGTGCAAAGGTAAGAGATGGTCAGGTTTCCCCTCGAACATAGAGATTCGCAAGTCACCAGACATCAATGTTTGCATTGTTAGATGAAAATATTCCTTTGTAGGACCAGACGCATCCATTCCTTCTTCACCAATGAATTCAACATCTGGCTTGTGACATATTTCCAGTCCCCTTTTATGCAATTTGACTTGATCAGCTAGGAATGTTGTTGATTTGCGGTTAACTGAGATTAATTATGTCGCCTTTCCTTGACAACTCTTGACAAATAAGACTCTAAGGAATCTCCTACAGACATATTGAACATACAATGCATTAAATAATGCTAATTTTTTATAGTAAAAAGAAAATGCTTGTTTGAGAATATATAATTGTGAGACGAAACATAGTCTCACATTGTCATTTGATTTCATTTTCAAGTGTTGCTTTCCTTCACATTTTTTTCAACATTGAACATTGGGCTAGGATGTTCATGACAAAGCACCTCTTACTAAAAAGAGGTTACACATTCAACTAACCTTTATTTAAGTTGTCTGTAATAAACATTTCATCATCTTCATCACTCCCCAAAACTTCTTCTACTGTAAATGTAGTGGAGCATATTTCAATATTTATTGCTAGTACTAATTCTGAGCACAATAATTATAGGCATAAATTATTTGGAATAAAGATAATTATATAGTCTTGTAAAATAACAGTATTCATGAAAAGCTCTATGTTAATTCCTGTTCAACATGACATCTGTGCATGACATGTGTAGCATGGGCTCATTTCATGCAATGCCATCATTTTAGCTCAAATGAGCTTTTTATCATAAAAAATATTGATTAGACAAATGGATATAGTTATCATGATAACTCTGAATATTGAACATTGATAGGAGAGAAAATTATGTAAATTGTATTTATTTTCAAAACAGTCAATATACAGGAAGAGCATCAATATTCGTACCATCTTTTAAATCAGCCAGCTGTGATGCTGCTAAACTTAGATCACCATTTGATGCATTGTAAAGTTTTGTAATCAGTTCTTTCCGAATATTTGGGAAAAGATCCCCTAATTTCTTAACTTCAGTGATGGCCTAAAAAGTTAAGTAATATATGTTAGTTAATTAAGTTACAATTTATTATGTGAGTTACAATTTAATATATAATCAATATATCTTATATTTCTCATGCATATAACCTTGCTTGTCCCAGGTTCATCTGTTACTTGAAGAACATTGCTGCCAGAATCTGAAGATGTCTTAGCAAATACTTGAGGCTGCTTAAAAAAAAACATTCATAAGTTATAAGGATAAGTTACAAATACCATAATTGGCAAATTTCCTTTAGGTTGTACAAAATATTGAAATTTACCATTGGTGATGTGCTAAAGTCAACAGTACTGGATGGTCCACCAGGGCACTCTTGGCTGTGCTGGGCCCATTTTAGGACAGGAACCTTTGCCTTACAGTCTACACATTCAATTTTTAAAACATCATCCCCATCAAGATTAATCTAAATATATATTAAATAACTATATGAGGTTCTGAACTATTGTTGCTTTTTAAGTTGCTGTAGGGGGGGATGTGCTGCAAGCTGTGGCCATGCCCTTTTCCCGAATGGGCGTGGTCCCAGATTGCAGCCCCTCAATCCAAATTTCCTTGCGACAGGCTGCACGTACTAAATGGAGGAAAAACTGTACAGTTTTACATAAATGAAACAAACAACTGTACCTCTTCCACTTGATTGAAAATTTTGCTTAGATTTCTCTGCAATGGTCTAATATAAGCAAGTGCTTGACCAAGTCCAGAAGAATCCCTCAAAAAGGGAACCGAATACCCCGTTGGCGGAGGTTGAATTACAGTAAGGGAGGTACTGTGACCTCTTGATCCTGTGCGGAGAATTTGAAAGCCACCTGCTTCTGACAACTTTGGATAAACTTCCAGTAGCTTTTCTTCCAGCTTTGAGTGGTCTGCTTTTGACGGGAGGCATAATTTCTTGCGACCGAGACCACAATTTTGCAACTGTATTTTTTCAGATCTGGAAGGAACATTGGTCTGATTTTTTTCACTAAGACAAAAAAATTCATGAGTCCAAGTTTCTTTGACCGCGTAATATGGTTTATAGCTGATCGTTTTTGGGCGTTGAGCGCATAGGTAAGCCGAAGCCGGGGATATTCTTGTTCGGGCATACGGTGAAAATATAGTACGTAGATGTTGTAGCGTTGACGGTGGCGTAGTTGATGGTGGCGTACTTGACGGCAACGTAGTGGAATGCGACGTTGACGGCGGCATAGTTGACAGTGTGGCCGCGGTAGACGTGCTTGTTGGGCTGTTAGTGTTAGAAGAAACGAGCAACATCGTCGCCTCGTTTAGTAACTCAATCGCTCTTTGTGAATTTTTGTTTTCGTGTGTGATTTGAGGCAACGAACCTGGCGCAAAATCTTCTGCCATAACGATATTTATATTTTTATTTGCATATACGCAGAAATATTTGCAAAGACAGAAACACACGTGGTAACGTTAAAAAGAAGACGATTTCGCGGGCTCAAGGAACGGCAAAATTAATAAATTATGTTATTCAATTTCAAATTATGTTATTCAATTTCAAATTGTGTTATTCAATTTCAAATTATGTTATTCAATTTCAAATTATGTTATTCAATTTCAAATTATGTTATTCAATTTCAAATTATGTTATTCAATTTCAAATTGTGTTATTTAAAATTGTATTAAATTTTAAATAATGGCACTTGTTAAAATGAACATAAGTTGAGTGCAAGAATAATATAATATAAATTTGAATTATGACCCTAATAACGCTTCATAGCTCGCATATATTGTTGATGACTGCTTTAGTATTTTCAATTTCCCTTTGCCGTTCATCTTTGTCAACCTTCTTTCGTTTTTTCCCTTGTTCACCACTTGATCCCTCAGCCTTTCCTCTTGACTGCCCCTTCACAAACTTGTACCCTTGGTTCTTCACATTCTCTTTTGCTTTTTATCAAGCAGTCTTCCTGTGGAAAGCAAAAACAAAAAAGAACTGTTGAACTAATTTTTATGATCAATTGGCAATTTTCACATATTATAGTTTCCATGCAAAATCAATACTGGGGAAAACAAAACCAAATTGCAAAATAATGTTTTGTGATCACCCCACCTCTATTTGTAAGGTATATTGGACTCTCTGCAGCAATTTTAGCAGCTTCTGTATTAATTTCTTTCTGCCAATTTGTAAGGATTTTGGAGGGATTGTCTCCCAAATATTTTAGCTTGTTCCTTTAACTTTTCAATATCAGTATCTGCTTGGAATGGAACATTCTCCTGAGGAAAATGGAAAAAATTAGGCAACCCACACTTTAGATGCATTAGGCATGTCAATAGTGGGAACAAATATATAATATTCTTGACATTTTGCATGGTGATCTATAAATAATCTACTTTAATTCATCTATAAATAATCTATAAATAATCTACTTTTAATAATTTCAGATGTTAACTGAAGCTTTAAGACACAATTACTTTTAGTTTATAAACTATCTGTTTTCTCCTAATGATACTCAACAATATAGTTGGACTATATATCATGTATTAAACTCTATAGATTTCTGAGTTATTCAATAATGTAAATAGGCTCCCTCCTCCCTCTCTCTCTATATAGAAATATATCATAATATAATATATTGCAGACATATAGTACCACTATTGGTGGTCCAAATGACATATTGTCCTATATGTAAAGTATGTGTACAATCGTTTAGCACTTTAACCAATACTTCTTGTTTTATTAATAATATAAAGTTGAAATATAAATTTTATTTCCAAATTATGAGAGAAACATACCCTTTTTAATAACACTAACAATGGAATTATCAACATTAACAACTGTAACTTTTTTTGTTCGACTTGAATTCCATACTTTTAACGGTTTAACCTTAAAATATGAAATGAATTTAAATATTCACTCCTGCAGTATCTTTTAATATATTAAAAGATACAAAAATGAATAATTGATGAGTAAATAGAAACCAAAAAAACGATGCATATATTTATAGCAAATACATACCTCCATTGCAGCTTCTTGTATTTTCGACATTGGCTGATTGGCATTGCCATGGCAATATGCTGAAACACGTGGATGCCATCAACGAGTACCAGACCTCTGTCGAACTCCCTCGTACTTTCGAAATCGTGGTTGATCAAATGCCCGACCTTCTCCTACCCTGTAAGCCAGACATCTAATGGCCCCAGACTCGCCCTACTTCGTGCGAGCAAATTTCCAACCTTGAGCATGACATCTGTTATCAAATCCCCTATCATTGCACGCCCTCCCCCCCTTCCTGCCTAACATTGATAGGTGCATAACATTACAACATCTCTTTTAATATTTTCTTAAAAAACACAACTGTTAATATTACAATAATTTGTAATTGTTCATTAATTGTTCACTAGTACATTGTTCTTAAAAAAGACAATTCAACTGAAAGTTAACAAAATCTCAAAATAACATTGTATGAAGCAATGAGAACTTAAAGGTACAGAATATCTGTGATTGTTTTGTTCTTAATGTTATTCAATACACTCTTGTCATCAAAAGTCAAGCATTTCAAACAATGAAATATATTATAGACACTATAACATTACAACATGTCTTAATATTTTCTTAAAAACACAACTGTTAATATTACAATAATTTGTAATTGTTCATTAATTGTTCAATAGTACATTATTCTTCAAAAAGACAATTGAACTGAAAGTTAACAAAATCTTAAAATAACATTGTAGGAAGCAATGAGAACTTAAAGGTTTATAACAGGTACAGAATATCTGTGATTATTTTGTTCTTAATGTTATACAATACATTAATGTCATCAAAAGTCAACACAGCTGATTGAATATCACTTGGTGTGCAAGATGATAAATCTGTTGTGCACTTGTTAATGCTAAACAATTGCTTAACAGCTTCATTAAACAGGGTTAAGTGCACATCTTTCTTACTCTCCTTTTCATGGCAAACTAGTTTAAGAATCCAAGTAACATTAGTCGCAGATTTTTTTTGCACAAGATTGCATGACGTACAAGTTGCAATTTCATCCTTCACTGTCACCTTCTTGTGACACAAATGGCATGTTCTGTAGTTCATTACAGAACTTACACCAATTATTTCAATATCAACTGATTTGTCTGTCATGTCAGAAGGTAAAGCTTGTATTTTTGCTAATGCCACATTAAAATCAGGTGTTTCTTTAATTGAACAACCACTCTTTGCAGTGTTAACACACAATTCCTTAGAAAAATAGTCAGTTTTAACTCTAAGATTTTGAAAAATGTAAGTTTTTCCTTCTTCCACTGCTTCCGTAAAACTTTCCCAAAGTGTAATAGGGATACTCCCAGTTGGGTCAACTAATAGGCCATTCACTTTGGTTAGAGTATTACTCGAACTATGTACTTTCTTTTTTCCTGATAAATTGCATATTTTTGCTTTTACACCAATTAACTGGTTAATACTGACACTTCTAATATCAGAAATATTAATCATTTTACTTGTATCTACCATAACGATTCTTTCAAACGTGACTTCATCTTCAAAAACATCTAAGGTTGTCTTCTTGTCCATCATGACATTAATTTCCCCAGCTTGTCTTTCTTGAATTCTGAAATTTTTAATCTTCACCGGGCTCTTGGACTTGGTCACAAGGGACATCAAAACGAAATAATTTGAAAAAGTCTGAAACCTTCTTTCTCCTTCTAAACTAAGCTTTATGTTATCAGACGATGTGTGCCACCATCCCGGAACCTTACTCTCTTTTTTGTTCTGTTCACCTATTCTGCTTAAAAATATTTCATTTCCTATCTCTTGTAAAAATGCTTTTATATATGTTTTGATCTGTCGTAAAATGTATTTAATACAATAAAATATTATAATATATAGATTGTGTAATAAATCGACTTCATTATAACTGTATTCAACCAGTTAACTATAGCGTGTTTATTCCGTTGTCTATGGCATTAGAACATAAGACTAGAAAATAATATTTTAGAGAGTGCCATTTTGGTGCCCATGGCAGTACCATGTTTTTGGAGGTAAAGTTTGTTTTTGAAGGTGAAGTTATTTTCCTTGAGTATGTATTCAAGGAACTGATGTATGACTTTGCGGAGAGGCCATGTGCACCCATGTTTGGAATCTAATGTTTCAAGGGTAGCATTTATTCCTTCACTGTTTGTGTATAAGGATTTGCCATCAGTGGTGGCTACAATTGTGTTTGGTGGTAATGGTGTTTCAATGCTGAAAATGATTTGTAGGAAGTGATTTGTGTCTTTTATGTAGGATGGCAGAGGGGTGCAGAATGGTTGTAAATGTGTATCAATGAGTGAGGAAAGCTTGTCTGTTGGTGAATCACATCCGGATATGATTGGTCTGCCTGGATTTCCAGGTTTGTATATTTTTGGTAGTAGGTAGAAGATAGGTATGTGGGGGGGTGTGTGGGTGGTAACAGGTATGTCATGGTTTTGTAGTCAGTGTCTCCATATTTAAAGAGATCTTTGACATACTGTGTGATTTTTGTGGTTTGTGTTGTGATGATTGATATTGGAGGGGCCTGTATGTGTTGGTAATATTTTTTGTCGTAGAATTGAGAGAGGGCTTCTTTTTCATAGTTGAGAGTGAACCATATAACGATAGCACCCCCTTTGTCTGCTGGTTTGATGACATATTTTTGATTGTGAATGTTATGTGAAGGGAGGAAGTTTGTTTCTTCCTCAGTGAGGTTTGTGATGTGTTCTGTTGATGCTCCATGTTTCAAGGTGAGGTTGATGGATTCCGCTACTGAGCAGATGTATGAGATGAGGTTAGGGTTATCTGGTGGTTGCCAAGTGCTGGTGGTTTTGAAAGGGTTTGGTTGTTCGTTGGAGGAATTTCGAAAATGGTAATGTATGTACATGGAACATCTAAATTGTTTAAATGCATTAGTAATTGTTTTTAGACTGGTATTGTCTGGTGTGGGTATGAATTTCAAGCCCTTTGAAAGCAAGGATTTGAATTGTGGTGTAAGTGTCTGGTTTGTCAGGTTGACTATGAGATTGTTGTTGGTGTGATTTGTGATTGAACCACCATTACATAACATAGCAATATCATGTAAATAATTCATTTGATTCGCTCACCGAGCATTGTTGTAAATACAACACACATTCAGTCTCTTCAATCACAACTTTGACACAGTTTCATGACCACGTCCAATTATAATTCCACAATCCGCCTTGAAACAAACACACACATAAGTTAAAATATCGCCCGAACGTTCTCCAAAGGGAACTCGTAATTATATATTTCGAATACACTATATGTCATTAGACTGACCGCCATTTGCAGCAATTCAAACAATCCACCATTACCTCTCTTCATCCCCCCCAACACAATCCCCCCCGAAACAAATTCAGCCTCGCTTTCAAGATTCACAACCTCAATGTCACACAGCACACTCATTTTACATTTCTTGCGTGTTAACACAAAAGCAAACTTAGGTAAGCATCTGGACACTCACTTTTCTTCTAATTGAAGAGTAAGTAAGACTATTTAAATTTCTTACATCTGTAATTCTTAACATAACAGTTCCCTGGGCACCAGCCAGCCGTATTAGATATCATATTTACAGAGATGGGCCCAAAATAAAACAACATTTCCCTTGGCACGCTCCCATGCAGCAGTTTATGATTATTTTTCTAACCGGAACGCATGTGGGATTGAGTACCACCCTTTCTCACAAAATCACCACACATTGGGGATGTTTTATCGAACCAATCAATTCAGAGAACAGGAACCAATCGATTCAGGGATTAGCCTCTTATAGCAAACCACTTTTTGACAAGCACTTTTCGCGGGACTACGGTGGACGCGCTTTTGGCTGCTCCCGTACAATCTTCTGGTTTTAAATTTTTTAATCTTTTTATAGTCATTAACGATTACCGATTCAGTTAGTTGATAGTAGGACATAATGTGGTCCTATTCATGTGTATTGTTGAAGTCCTTTAGTGGTCTATCTTGGGCTTTGGGTAACACAGCGTGGCGAAGGTTGGTGAACTTAAATATCGCTTCGTGTAGGCCGACAAGACGTGGCTGTCGCGCTGGCTCTAACAAGGTGAGAAGTATCAAATCGATTATTAGTAGCCGAACCGAAGGGAAACTCCGTAGCATTGAACAGTCTATGCGAATCATGCCAAACAAATTCGTGTGCCAGAAACCTCTAGCTCCGTCGAGAGTGTCCTTTGTTTTGTCACTGCCGCATTATTATATAACTGGCGGTCAAATGGGTGCAAATCTAAAGAATCTTACTTATATCAAATGCCAAAACCCATGTACAGACACCGAACAGAGAGTCTCTCTACAGTTTGTCCCTAGTTTATTGCTGACCAACGTTATGTCATTGGCCCCAAAGATCGACAAGATTTGTTCCTTTGTTAAACACGCCGATCTTGACTTGTTATGTATTACAGAAACTTGGCTTCGCAATACTATATCTGACAATATTATTCAGATTCCTAACTATAATGTAGTACGCAAAGACCAAGAAAGTGGTTCACATGGTGGAGTTTGTGTCTTTGTTCACCACAATATTCATTTTAATAATTTAGTCGAACTGCAATCTCCAAATTTAGAAGTAATTTGGATTAAAATACGACCAAGACGTCTCCCGCGGTCAATTTCATGCATCATTGTCGGAATAATTTATCACCCTCCTAATTCTAATAACTCAATCCTGTCAGAGTACCTTTCAGAATGTCTGACTACCCTTGAAGGAGACTTTCCCAACTGTGGAATCATATTGACAGGCGATTTTAATCAATTTAACACTTCGCCTATTGCACGACAGTTCAAGTTTAAACAGCTCATTAAATTTCCAACTCGAGGAAATAACACCCTAGACAAAATCCTTACAAATTTGCATTCCTTTTATAAAGATGCAAATTGTCTTTCGCCGTTTGGACTCTTGGATCACTGCACAATTACAATTTTCCCGAAAGAAAGAATCAAAACTAAGTCAGAACGCATTAAAGTTTTAGTACGTGATCGAAGGCCAAGTAAAAAAGAACAACTTGGCCGTTTTCTCTCGGGCGTCAATTGGTCCAGTTTATCAGTCGATTCAGTCGAAATCCAAGCTGCCATATTTAATGATTTGATTCAGGTTGGACTTAATAATATTATGCCCGAGAAAACACGAGTTATTCATAGAAACGACGCTCCATGGATGACAACTTATCTGAAAGAGCTCATTGTTAAACGCCAAGCAGTCTGGGCACAAGGCAATCAAATGCTCTTCAAGTTCTATCGTAACCGCGTTAATAGGCATCGCAAGCGGTGCAGGCAAACTTATTATAATTCTAAAATACGTCTTTTAAAGGACAGCAAGCCAAAACGATGGTGGGACGAAGTTAAACGCATTAGTGGCCACACCCCAATGTCTGACAATAAAGATTTACTATCCATCCTTGCTCTTGAAAACATGAATATTAATGATTCTTCTCATGATGAAATTGCAAACTTTATTAACGATTCCTTTTTGGACCCACAGCAATCATATGTGCCACTTGATGAGTCTGATAAAATCCAGTATGCAAGGCCAGCATCTGGCTGTGATGTATTACAAGTGCAAGAAATTGATGTATTTATGAAATTGAAATCCCTTAACGCAAGCCAATCCCCTGGCCCGGATGGACATCAACCTTGGTTACTCAGAGAATTTGCAGAAATACTGGTCTTCCCAATTAGCCTAATTATTAACAACTCATTTCAACAAGAAACATTACCTCTTGGTTGGAAACAGTCAAACATCACCCCCATTCCTAAGGCATGTCAAATCACAAATGTAAATAAACACCTTCGTCCGATATCTCTAACGCCAATAATCTCGAAGGTGGCAGAGGAGTTTGTCCTTGAGAGGCAAGTTAGACCGGCCATTTTGGAAATCATCGACCAATTTGGAGTAGTACCCAAATCCTCTACCACAATGGCCTTAATATCTATGATACACCGCTGGGCACAGGCCACTGATCAACCTGGAAATTTAGTCCGAACAGTTCTATTTGATTTTAGAAAGGCATTTGATCTGATAGACCATAAACGACTCTCTGCTAAAATCAGACAACTTAACCTCCCTCCTTATACAATAAATTGGATCTTGGATTTCCTTACTGGCCGTATGCAGCGGGTAAAATTGAGGAACAATTGCTTTTCGCAATGGAGTGAGATTAGCGCGGGTGTACCCCAGGGTACCAAGCTTGGTCCCTGGTTATATGTACTAATGATAAATGACCTGACAACGTCACATAGCGATCCTTGGAAATTTGTCAATGACACAACTATTTCGGAAATACTGAAAAAAGGTCAACGCAGTACAATTCAGTTAGATGTTGATGATGTTCAAAATTGGACTATAACCAACCTAGCTGAACTAAACGAAGATAAAAGTAAATAACTCAGAATTGATTTTTCTAGGAATAATAATCATGGCAACACGCTAGCCCCATTACTGGTCAATGGAAAAGAACTCGAAATAGTGAACCATACTAAGATCCTTGGACTTACAGTCAGCAGTGATCTAAAGTGGAGAGCACATGTGGAGCAAATTGTGTCGAAAGCTACCAAGAGATTATATCTGATAACACAACTTAAACGAGCAAATGTCCCTATAGAAGACATAATAATGATATATTGTGCATGTATACGGTCGATTTTGGAATACGTGTCACCTGTTTTTCACAACTCGTTGCCGGTGTACCTAAGCAACGAGATTGAGAGGGTACAAAAACGGTTTTTGAGAAGAGTATACCTGGACCACGGTTATGATGACGCTATTAACATTTCGAAGTTGGATTAATTGTTTGATCGAAGATCTGCTGCGTGTCACAAACTCTTTGAACAAGCCCAAGATACAGATCATAAATTAAATTCGTTAGTTCCTCAGGAAAAAATTTGTAAATATTCCCTAAGACGATGTAGAAAATTCTCTCTACCTCGAATTCGAACTGATCGGTATAAGAACTCCTTCATAATCGCTAACAGTCTCGAACAATAGCCTAATTTGTTATAATTGTAAGATAATTATATATTAGATTTAGTCAAACTTATGCATGTATATACTTTTAGGTGTCTTTTATGTACATTGTATATAATTCAGTTTTTACGAACTGCAAACTACGATTATTAAATTCAATCAATCAATCAAACCAACAGCCCACTACATACGGATAACAGCATGCTCATACATATTTGGACTTCATCACCGATTTCACCACAAATTCACATCACACAATTTCCACTCTTTCCACAAATCACATATGCGAGCACATCGTTCCAAGACCTGCTAGCACGTTAGAAACATTCTTTCCCTAGTTATGCGTGGAGTCTGATGAAACATAACTACAGTTTTCAACGAAAAACAAAAGAAAGGGACTTGACCAGAATGTCAATAACCAGCATTCATTCTGGCCTAGGCATCTCACACATTTCCATATTGCACCTGGGTTTTGCCAAACAACAAACACATATTCGTAGCATTTCATTAATATAATTTTCAAATCCACAATTATCTAAAATATAATTTTCCAATCCACAATTATCCACAATATTCTGCATTCCACAATTCCTATGACGGAATCATATCAAATGTTATCAATCTTCATCATTGCCAATCATCTCAATTTCAAAAGACACCTTACAACACCCCTACAATGAGGGCATAGCCATCTCCACAGGTTCTGAATACCTGCAACCACATGTAAAATAAAAATATTGACAAAAATAAAAGTAAAAATATAATAATAAAAATAAAAGAACATTTAACTGTTTTCATTGTTTAGAAAAGCCTTGGGTATGTGTTTTCCCAATAATTACTCATACTAATACTTATACTATTTTCTTGTCGTGTCTTGTTGCCATATTGTGCTCCATACAGCATCTGTTGATCTGTTGTATTTTCAACTTTACCAACTCCTTTTGCTTATCTTTTATATCTCTTAATGAATGGCAGACATGTTTGCCAAATATTAAATCTCCATCCTCCTCAACTAGATTCTTTTTTTTGTTGCTCACATCATGCAGGAGTGCTAGGGACTTTGTCCAATACATTGTCTTCAATTTTCTTTCTAATTCTCAAAGCTGATCCTTCTGTCTTTGGGTGGTGGATCCAGGATAATGTAATAATTTCAATCATCATCAGAATTATATGTCATACAATCTGCTTCAGTACGGACTCCAGGTGTTGGTTTTGTTTTTACAGGGGTTATACTATCTCTTAAAAACTGAAGTTGCTCATAAAACCTCCAAGTAGGGAGATAGACCTCATTAGAACCTGCACCAATTGACATGGAGGCTTTAAACTTACCAAGCTCTTTTGGTCAAGGGTGTCAAGGGTTAAATTTAAAAGGACAATGTACTTCCTTATGTATGTACATTGCATATATAACAATTAACAAAATAATCTAAAATTTAACGACTGGAAGTGGAATAAGTATTGTATTATAAAACAAGATGCGAGACGTGCAGTAAGAAGTTGAATCCCTTATTGTTTCTCTGGCTAGGCTTTTCTTGTCTTGGCGCTTATAATCAGTGCAACTCATGCTCTGCCCAGCATCTTATCAGAAGTTCTTCTTCACCAACAGGCCTTGTTTTCTTTTTTTATGTTTTTTTGTGTGATTTTTGCTTCAACCATTTTCTCCAGAAATTTGGAGGAAAATCGCGCTAATATTTGAGCAAAACCAAAGAGGTGCGATGTTTCCACGAGAAAATTGTGGCATTGTCACCATTGAATTGCATGTAAATTACATGTGCGATTTTAAATCGCCAAAAAAATCGCGTGTGTAAATGGGCCTTAAACACTTGCTGACAAGCAAATTCTCGTCAGAATTCATATGAAATTTATTAGAGTGCAAAATTATGGCCCTGAATACATAATGTACAAGAAATATTGAATGCTAATTCAAAATCTACACAAAGTTTTGTCTAAAATCTACATAAATGTGTTAGTGCCCAAGTATTGTTTATTATACGTCAATTATCTTTTTTTTTGGATGCAAGTTTGATCCAAAATATAATTATTATGGGGCGGTATTGAGGACAAAAATATCTTTCTGTCACTTTGGCATTATGTTACGTCTGCAAGTCACGATGTGTTGGGATTATTGCATGATGTTTCTAATGAATGACATGTCATTACTTTTTGACTGTGTGATGTTACGTCGAAATTGCACTCAATCAGTGCTTTATGACCAGATGTCTTGTCCTCTCATCATGGCATTAGGGTTGTTTTTGATACTACAGTAGCATTGGGGATGGGTGTTGATATTAGAAGCATCAGAAATGTAGTGCATATCACCCCACCATACACAATACAAGCATACTTCCAAGAAACTGGTGGAGCAGGTAGAGATGGAGAACCTGCAACGGCAATGCTTTACTACAACAATCGGGATATTGCCAAGAACAAACATGCGATGCAAGAGGGTATTCGAGCTTTTTGCCAAAGCAAGGACAAATGTCTTAGAAATATATTACTAACAGCACTTGACACAGAAGAGAAATATATCAAACCAATTTTTCCCAAACATCTTTGTTGCAGTGTTTGTGACGAACAATGCAATTGTGCTAGCTGCACTGATTATAACTAATATGAATGACATTATGATACAGGTTTGATAGTCAACTATTTTGTTTAAGATACAGTTACTGTAAATAAAGAATACCTGGCCACTCTGATTATCAGAAATTTGTTTTCAAAAGATTATTATAATAATTCACCCAAAACATTTTAGTTTATAAATGTTAGGATTGTGTTAACCAACCAATTGTTTATTTAATCACATTTTATTTAAATATCTGATAACTCAATATAATCATGCCATCAGATCTTTTGCTCTAAAATATAACTATTAGATGCCAGGTATCCTTTAATTAATCTTTAACACCCCATCTTCATACTAAGGATTGTATATACCTAATTAAAAAACACAATGTTTATTTTATATTTTCACAAAGGTAATTGGAACCATATTGTAGTTCTTATATAGTTATAAGTTAATTTGTAACAATTGTCTGAATTAAACCCACTAAAGAAAAACATTTAGGATGTTATGTATACGTGGGCAAAAGGGGAATATAATGAGTAATTTGTTGAATTGTTAACTGTGAATTAAAAGGCGTAGAAATAGAAATAAAATTAAAACTAGATGGGCTAGTTGGGAATTTGTTGGACAACCGCCAACCATGTGGTGTGTTTGAAATAAAATTTTTTGTAAAAAGGGTTTTGTTAGTGTATGATGGATTTCTTCAAGAAACTATGTAGTTACGTGCATAGTAATAGGTTGTGTAGTGTTGTTGGTGGTGTTTAAATCAAAGTTATGTAAGGAGGTAGGTAGTAAAAAACAGAAGACAAGATAGGCAAGCATGCGAATCAGTATCCCCGTATGCGGCGTTTCATCCATTTGCGGACTTGTCAGCAGGGAGCAGGGTTGGCTTTGTGTGAAAGAACCGTGAAGATAAGAAGTGAGAAAAAGTGGTGTGTGTTTATAGGAGAATCATAAAGAATCAAACCTGCGTGAGAGTGTATTCGTAAAAGGTAAAATGGTAGGGTAACCCTAACCCTAACCAATGCGGTGAGCCATTTCAGAGTTGATATGAAACCGAGTGGAAATTTATTAGAATTTGGCTTGGAATTGCTTAAAAGCAGAGCTTGTGTTTGAGCTTGTGTTTGTTCGAGAGGCCTGATCGAAAAGGGGTCAGGGATTACATGTGTGTGCAAAAAATGCGTTAGTATGTTACGTCACTGAGGTCAGGTGTCAAAGTCTGTGTTGGGAATAGTGGGGGTTTACGTGTCAATTATGGTTGTGTGTGGACATCCGAGGTTTAATTGTGTTTTGGTCGTGGGTTGTACTTCATGTAGTGTGGTTGGTTATTATTGTTAAAGTTTCACTTTTTCACCGTGGTCATGAATTAATACAAGTATGGTCAAAGTGTTTTGGACTTTTGGCGAGCAATTACATAATTACAGTGCAATATTGTCATCTGTGGCTACTAAACTACCCCGGGTCCTTAAACTTCTGTGGGTCGATGTTCGTTGATGCATCAACCGTAAGGGTTTCAATCGTGATTAGGGTTGTCAATTTGAAGTAGTCAAGGTTTTTAAGGTTTGTATGTATTTTGAAGTTTTATGTGCATATACTTGTGAGTGTAAGGTTGTAGATATATAGATATCATTAGTTAGTTGGTGTTTGAATTATCATCGGTAATTCGAAGTCGATGTGGACGTTGTCATGCGTTTGAATTACTGCATATATACAACATATGGATTGTACATTATATTACATAAACATTGTTGGACGTGACTATGTTTCCCGTGACTATGTCCATGTGGTTTGATTTGAAGTGTATTTAATCCGTGTGGTTGAACATTTAGGTTTTGTTCGGGCATCTGGTCACATT